TTGGTGTGGCTAATGAGGGAAAAGGAAGGAAGGTAGAGTTAGAGAAAACAGGAGGAACGGTCTGTGTCTGTGGATCTTGAAGTGGACAGGTACTTCGGAGGCAGCCGAGGAGTGTACAGGTGACTGCGAAGAGTTAGCATAGTCATCTGTATACTAAAGATTCTCTAATATTTAACAGAGGTGCTACAAGTAAAGTCCTGCGGGGGGATTGCTCTGCAGAGCCTAAGCAGAACTGTCAGCATTAGCCATTTCAGAGCAGTATGAACATTCAAATGGAACACCTATGCTGGACACCCATCATCCTCAGTGCTGGGTGTGGCCAGCTCAACCCCCTTGCCCCAGCACGTCCTGGGAAAGCTACTTTGAGGACACACATTCCTGGTTACTCCATGGAACCCAAACACAAATTCTCTGGTGCCCAAATGCATACACCGACATCCTAACTGGCTAAACTTGGTGGAGAAGACCCTCAAGAACTATGAAATCGTCCCTATTACCACCACGTAATGCACCAAGCATATCACTGACAGGTACTATGGTAAGAACTTTATGCATTTTCCTACCAAACCGAGAAAACCAAAGCCGATGCAACGGAAACCCACACAAGTTTCCCTGACTCCACGCTCAACACTTCTGGAATAATCCTGGACGGATCTGAGCAGTAGCCATGCTAAACAGGATGTCCGAGAGACAGCACAGAATTCAAGTTTCTACTAAGTACTTGCAGATTAACAGTCCTTTTAAAGAAAAAATAATTACCCTCCTTGCTGGCAGACTACTGAAGAGGAATGGTTCTTCAGTGGGGGAGAATGCAAATCAGGTTCTTAGGCCTGAACAGTAGAGCCCAGCTCTGCCCCCTCCCCACCCCTGACTCCTGCATCCCAAACCCTCGGAACCTACTCTAATTAACACCGCACAAGTCTGGTACTTTGGGCAGAGAGCTCAACCATAAACTGATTAGTATCCAGTTTTTGCCAAAGGCTCGTTTAAGACATCTGATAGCAGAGAGAGATGGCTTAATGTGCAGATTAACTGGCCCTTCCGCTCGGCTCTCTACGTTTTAGCCATGCACTAAATTGGATCAACACAAAGCAACATTTGTTTCCTGAAGCAATTCAAGTTCTTTTCGGGAGAAACTCCTTTCCACACTTACAACTCACACCCTCAGCTCTCAGAGAGTGTGGGTCTAAGGAACACCCATTTCAACAGGTACCGCGGGCCTCTGGTAAAACAACAGTCCAGAGCACTGTCATTAAATTATCCATTGCCCCCGAAATGAAAGAGCATGGGATACGTTCTGTGCCAAGGAAAAGTTTGCTTCTCTGAAAGAGTTTATGTTTCCTTTCCTCCTCAGAGAACTGGATCATGGTGTCTTTTTGACTCCATTTCAAAACTCACAAATGCACCAACCAATGCATCCACACCTCCTCGTAGTATCCAGTCTCAGATTCTCTTCGCCCCTTTTGATCTTGATTATATTTTTATGTCTGCTGCTTTGTTCTTCATTTTGCACACCAACTTGTATCGTTTCCTGCTTCAAAGGAAGACACAAATCCTAGCAAAAGGCCCTTTCCTCAGCCAGATTCCCCCGCCCTTGACTTTTCAGACCATCGATATCGGGCCCAGGCAGCATGATGGACCGGAGAGGACCCCGTGCCACCCTCACCAAGCAGAACAAAGCTCTGAAGATGAGAACAGAGCGCTGGCCATCTCAGCGGGCAAAGCTGATGTCCAGAGATGATCCCCACATATGATGTCAATGTTTAGGACAGACTCAACTCAGGCCATAATTCTAAGCCATTCCCAAACAAGAAGCAAGAATTCGCCACTGGGGGAAGAGTCCATCTTCCAAAGATGGCCACTAGCACTTCCCACCTGTCCACTTAGCGCATATGAAGTCCTTCACCAGGGCCTGGAAAAGGTGAGTGTTCAGGAAATGGTCACTCTAAGTCTGAACAAGTGAAGGGCAGAGTTGAGTGTTGTGTCTGTCCTATCTGCACAGGGAGCCAACTGAAGAATCCCCCTCTGAGCTGGGCGGTGGTGGCGCACACTTCTAATCCCAGCACTTGGGGGGTACAGGCAGGGGGATCTCTGTGAGCTCGAGGCCAACCTGATCTACAGAATGAGTGAGTTCCAGGACAGCCAGAGCGGTCACACAGAGAAACCCTGTCTTGAAAAACAACCACCACCACCACAACCAAAGAGAACGCCTCTGTGACAAGAGTCCATGTCGACCACTCAGGAGAATCTACACACTTAGCATGTCATCTTTTTTTCCAGATTTTTTTTGGGGGGTCACAGCTTCAGTACCCTACACAAGCTCCCAGCTAGACTTGATGGAATGCACAAACATTTCTAGAGACAATAGTTAAGGTCGGCGGGCTGCCTCACTTTCTGGCAGAGAGTGCGGTCTGCAGACTGTGACTAAAGCCCCGTGGCTGTGCTCAGGTCTGGGTCGTCTCCCAACAAGTGTCCAAGCAGCTGCAGAGCGTGAGTCACAGGCGGGGCAGGGGTGAAGACTGGAGCGGAGGAAAGAGATGAACACAGCTGTTTCCCACAGTATTTACACTCCTGGCGAATTCACGCGTGTGCAGGGGTCTCTGAATATTCTCAGCCATGGCTACGCCTGCATACAATTCTGGTTTTTCTATTATCTCTGTGTTGGGGCTGACACTTTCTCCCTATGTGGTGTAAAGAACGGGGAAGGTATGGGGTTCTATTGGCGCTCTCCTGCGCTGGAGACGTGCACAGATGACTTTCACAATGGGGCTAGCGCGGCAGGGATAATAAAGGAGTCTTTCCCACAGTTTAGCCTCTTTATTTCTCTCAGTCTCTGGAGGAAACGTCACCAACAAATCCCTTCCAGTTACAAAGCCCATTCCCTCCCAGAGCTTGCCCCTGATGTCTGACAGTGCCTGTACTTCCCCCAGGGTATGTGGGATCAATACACCAGGACTTCAAAGAAGCCCTCAAATTGAAGTGCAGGCAGAATTTTCAAAAAAAAAAAAAATCCTGGAGCTAGGATTCAGAAGTTGGCGGGGAGGGAGGGGGAGAGAAAGGCAGAGTGGGAATTTGACAGCGCCACACAATGCACTAGGATCAGAGCTGCGAGGCAGATTCAGCTCCAGAGATGAAAACTTCTTCTCTTGGTGCTGACAACATCTGTTTTATTTTGAAGGTTGCTAAGGAGAGTCCTAGCTGGGCCAACATTGTTCCAGCTCAGGACTTCACAGTGCGCCTCGCGCTGGCTTCTGACGGAGGGAATGAAAGCTCGCCAGATAAGCCTGCTCCTTTGGCTTCCCAGATATCAAAGCACCACTTTGCTCACGGGGCTGACTAGCACCCCCACACCCGCTCACCCCTGTCTCGGCCCTGATTGGACTTCCCTTACGGCTTACTCTCCAACTCTCCCCACTGATCCCTCCTATTTCCCATCCCTGCTCAAGAAAGGCTTATTAGGGACAAACAGACAGGAGCTCATCCTCATCCGGCAAAGGCCCTCTATGAAGACAGAGAAGAACTACAGAGGAGCTGAAGACGTGCACATGCAGGAGGAGGTTTAGCATCAGGCAGAGGGGGATGCCATTTCCTGGCCTTTAAAGATCTGTGCTGCCTCCTTAAGGAAAAATCAAATGCCTTTGTCAGGCCCAAAGCACTGGAAACAGCAGAGCTGACCACAAGGCTGTCCACTGGGAAGTGATACAGGTGGGGAGCGAGTCGCACCCCACAGGCCCACCCCTCCTGAGCTTAATTGCTATTACAAGCCTTGATGAACAGCAGGAAGAGCTAGTAGACAGTCCTCCTAGTGCGCAGACCCACAGGAAAAAGGGATGAGAAAAGGTCACTACAGGAAATAGCGTCAAAGCTGGCAATCACACGTAAGACATGGCAGGAAGCACATGTAAGCTAGCAGTCACATGTAAGACAAGGCGAGGACACGGCAGGAATCACATGCATGATGAAGTGAGGACAGCACATACGTGACGAAGTGAGGACACCAGAGAGCACACATGGTAAAGTGGGGACAGCAGGAAACAGACACATGATAAAGAGGGGACTTGTCAGAGAGCACACACATGACAGAGAAAGGACAACAGGAAGCATGCACGCACATACAGAGGATAAAGTGGTAGACAGCAGAACATGGATGATACTGTGAGGGCAGCAGGGAACATGCATGATAAAGTGAGGACCAGTCAGGGAGAAGGTATGGTAAAGGGAGCACTCTCCAGGGAGCACATACATTATAGAGAGAGCACTCTCCAGGAACACACATATGATGAGGATACACCAGTTGATATATGACAAGGTAGAACAGGACCACACATGTGCTAAGAAAGGGAGACTCCAAGGATCACATACATGACAAACGGGTGACACTATGTGGACAAACCAGTCATCTTCCCACATGTTACAAGCCGCTCTCAAACATGGGGTGAGGTGACACCTCTGCCTCCCCACCCCCATCCCCCAACCAAGGGAGAAGCACCTGGGCTGGGAGCCTGAGGAGAGACAGGAAGTGGCTGGCCCCTACTGTAAATGCATTTGCAGAGAAAACCACAGTGGGCTTCTAGCAGAAGGGGTAGACAACACAGAAGCTGGAGGAGGTGATTGCTCTTTCTTGTGCTTTAGGAAGCACTAGCCCAGGGCAGAAATGCCCAAGGGTCTAAGAAAGCGGAAGAGCATGGCTGTCTCTTCCCTCAACAAAGAGCCACTGCAAAGAGCCATTCAGCTCAGCTCCCACAGGCAGGTGGCTCTCAATAACAAAGGAACCCACATTCTCCAGCAAGGGCACTGGAACAAACATCACCTATGCTTTTGCTTGCTGGCCAGACTATTTCAGCCCACTGTGCTTCCCTCCAGCCTGGGAGCTGGGGAGCTCAAGGACACTCGTCTGATCCAAACATCTAAATAAGGCAGAATGCCCAGCCTACCCCAGGCTTCCTGAGTGCACAGGAAGGTTTAAGCAGACAGCCTAAGAGGCTCTTCAAGGTACTCACCTAGCCACGTCACGCTTACACTGGACGGGGCAGACATGGCCTCTGCCACCTTGTGCCAGCTCCTGTTGTGTCCAGGAGCCCAGAGGGCCACAAGGCAAAGGTAGTAGCCAGAGTTTTCTTTGCTAACATCTCGCACCAGTAGATGGTAGGAGCGGGTATCCACATGGCTGAGAGCAACGTGTGGTGAGCTGTGTACCAGGGAGTCACGGTCCAGCCGAGCCAGCATGTGGGAAGTCAGCAAGGAGGCATCGGGTGTCTTTCTGAAGTACCATGTCACCTCGGGTCGGATATCATCCACACGGTCTGTCGTAATGTTGCAAGAAAGGCCCAGGTCCTTCCCTACAGCCACAGACACCGTCCTGGGCACAGCCAATTGCAGAGCTACAAGAGGAAACCAAGTCTGTCAAGCCATCAAGTGATCTGCCCTTTCTAGACCCTCCCTTCTCCTTACCACCCTCGAGATCACCTCTTTTCAAGCTGATTTATAGCATTAAAATTAGAAGGCTTTGTGCAGTTGAAGGTGCTTGAGGAACAGTTAATGAATAAATTCATGACACACTAAATTGGTTTTGGAAAAGAGAAGCAACGAAAACCAGCAAACACGTCCATTGCTTTCATGCGCCTACTGTGCGTTAATCCTGTAAATAATAGGAGGTGGGTACTACTATGGCCGTTTTATTGATGTGGAGGCTGAAGTGCAGTAGCTCCATGGTAGAGCCCTCCCCTAGCATCACTGGCTCCTGAACCCTGAGGGTGGGGGTGGAAAACCCTACACCACACAGATGAGCCAGGAAAGTGAAACCAGACAATTCTCCTCTCCTCTGTGAGTCAGACCTTTACAATGTGCTGTATGCGGACTATCATTTCATTAGACACACCCAGCTGAAAGTCAAGCAGGAGACATACTCTAAGCCCCAAAATCAATGGTTCTTGCATTCTCCATGCTACCGTCATCTCATGACTGTGGACATTTAAAAGTCAGCTGTATTTAGGGGAAGGCTTTGAAGTACTGGGTGCCAGAGACTCAAGGAAGGCCATGCTTAGCATTCCACTGTCAAATCTTTCAAATGAAAATATTTTACTCTATTCAGGGAGTTTTTTAAAAATGTCGAACATCTGTAATCAGAGTGGAAAAATTCAAGTTACAATGATGCTCTGGGAACGATCACTAAATGACAGACAGTTGACTTCTCCCAGCGGAGTCAAATGAGACACAGTTCCCACCTTCCAGCAGAACCCATTCAGCACCCACTGCTGTTGCCAGGAAGCTCAGGGACGGGTGGTGGTGTCTAAACCTGTTCCACCAAACACCAAACCCACTGCCCATGCCCTCCGGCAGAGATTGCTTCCACGTGAATATGTTCAAATCTTAACAATATTTCAAACAACTATTCAACAATATTTCAAACAAGCCAAGTTCAACATCCACCCCAACACAAGACAGAAAATGAGGTGGACATAGTATTAGGAACAAGAGTTTCAAAGTCTGGCTTGTCCTTTCCTCTCTCCTCTTTATAGATCGAGACATGCATTCCTAGTGTCCAGTAATATTGGCAGAATGTCTTTTCAGCTGTATAGTCTGCTTTGTCGTTTTTTCGGTGAAAGGGGCTAAATATCTGTCCTGTCACTAGCCATGGCTCCTAATAGTCCATATTTAAAAGTCTGGCAATGGGAGGTGAAATAGAGCCAGGGGAGGGGGAGCAGTTCCAAGGATTCAGAACGCAAGAGGAGATCTGGACAGTGTCTGTGATACTGCTAAATCCTCAAGTTACATAGAAGATTTGTCTCACCAGTCACTCCTACCATAGGGAGAGCCTACCACACGGGTGACACAACTTTGCCATCTAAGTGGCTCTGAGCCGTCTGCAGTGCCACTGTGGTCAGAGAGAACGTGAGCTGGCACCTGTGACTAGGGCACAGGTTGATAATAAGTAAAAGACCACCCCTTGGCTGGGTATGGTGGGACATATTTACAATCCTAGCACTTGAGAGGCAGAGGCAGGCAGACCTCGGTGAGTTCAAGATAACCTTATGAATTTCAGGCCAGTGAGACCCTGTTGAAAACCATGAGTAAATAGAGAAAGAGGGCTATAAGTATAAGAATGGAGGGAAAGAGGAAGGAGGGGGGAGGAGCGCATGCAAGTGAGCGCACAGTCCTCAAGCTCAGGGATTCTTAACTTGCAGTGCACAGAGTCTGTGCATGTGGATGAGGAGATTCATTCCTATTTTTATTTTCATTAACCTTTGCTGATGTATTACTCATCTTTCCTTTGTGAAAGCGAGCAACAAGGCAGTATTGTATGGCCTATACCTGGGGCTTGGTCCTCAACAGAATTAACAGCTCTTCATACATCACTTTACAGGAGCTGGAGACAACTGAACCATCATTTGCATTCTCTGCTCCCTAGAAATTATGATGGTTGTTAGGTCTGCCAATATGGCGTATTATTCATGTGCTAATGATGAAGTATAATTTAGTATAAAACAAACTTGTCTTAAAGATATTTTGATAACGACTTCAGTATAATTCTTTCCCCGTCACCTTATGTATTATGTTTCATGAATTAAGAGAGCTTCAGGCTTCAAAAGGCTGTCAAAAAGGCCCGTCACACACGAAAAAAATCACAAGGTCAAGGATGTTGGCGCAAGCCTGTAATCCTAGCTCTTCTGGAAGCTGAAGCTGGAAGAACACAAGTTCAAGGCCAGCTGGAGTAACTTAGCAAAGTCCTACCCCAAAATAAAAAGGGCAACACAGTTAAGCAAAAGCTGCTTGCCTAGCAAGTGGGAAGGCCTGGGTTCAACACCAGAAAGGTTGGCGAAGTCTCAGCCTCAGGATGGAGCTGCTGTGACCGAGTCCTGAGTCCCCATTATATAATGAGATGCTATGGGTTTGTGGTGTGTTTGAAACAAGCACCGCCTTTCCGATTGAAATTCCTCCATTAAGTGGTGAATTTGCTGCCAAGCTAAGCTCTTAGCTTGCCTGTCTCATTAAAATAGTTGCTTGGTGCACACTGAACAGCTAGAGGTTTCCTATGGCAGATTCCAGACAATCACTTTGGCTAAAGAAGGTGACCTTAGTCCATCTGGAAAGTCATTTCTGCAGCCCAGGGAGCCAAGGCCACACCTCGGCTGCCACAAGCCATTCATGAAGATATTCACACCCACTTTCAGAGACAAGGAATGCTGCCCGGAACCGTGCAAGTTGCAAAAACAATCACTGACCATAGCTTCCTGCTTTTCTTCCCAGGGAGCAGAGGAGGCCACACACTCATTCCAGGGAATGAGTCTAGCCAAGGTCTCCCAGGAAGCAGACTGCTATCTGAATATACTAGACTCCTAGACAACCAAACACACCCAGCGAACCCTAGCAGTGGCATTGACCTGCAATGCTTTCTTTGTACTTTCTGTTCTTCCTGAAGCGTCAGGCTCCAGTGACCAGGGATTAAGCCTGCACCGTACTGAAATCAGAAGGTTCCCTACCAATGCTTGTCCAACACTAAGTCAGTAAGAGTTTTTTCTTTTGTTTATCTGTTTTTGTAGACTTCTTAATATGCCTTTTCTATCTTGTTTCTGTAGTTAGAAAATTTTAAAAAGGAGGTATATTTGCAAATTATAAGACAAAAATTAATTCATATGGACCATGGCTTAATATGCATTTTCTATCTTGTTTGTGTAGTTGGAAAATTTAAAAAGGAGGTATATTTGCAAATTATAAGACAAAAATTAATTTATATGGACCATGGCTGAACTTTCTGAAATATGTATGGCGTAGGAAGCAAGAAGAAGCCTCATCCACAGTTTGTCACCTGGCAGAGGATGGTGCGCCTGATGGGGGTGGAAAGGCAGGTCCAGGGTGTGCACATTAGCAAGAGGTTTGGAGTCAGCCACACACAACCCAATAGCCATGGGGGAAGGCACACCCAGGGATTCAAGGAAATAGTACACAAGCTAAAGCTAAAGCTAAAGCTGTGTGAGTGAATCCACCCACACCCCCAGGGAACGTTAGGTGGGCCCTGACAGAACACATTCTTAACCTCTGAGTCAGAAAGCTACCTTTCTATACAAGGTGAGCAAGAGCCCAGATTCACTTGAATCATCCCAAGCTACCAACACCACTCTGTTCCCCGTCCCCAACGAGGGAATTAACGAGGGGCTAGTCCTTTTCTGATCTAGTCCTACACATGTTCACTGATTCCAATCAGCGAGTGACACATTTCCAAACCCTCACCTGTCGGCTGGATCGCCACGGTGGCCACTTCCACGGCTTTTTCCTGGATTTCTTGCCAGCTGCCTTGCTCTGTGATCCACTCGCTGACCACACACCTGTAGGAACCCTGGTCTGCAGACAGTGCCCGGGCCACGGAGAGGCGGTAGGCGTCGTTGCCCACTGTGTCCAGGCGTACATCCCCACTATGGTAGCGCTGCTCATAGCCAGGGCCTGGGTGAAACCGGCCCTCGTGGCTTAGGGAGAGGATGTTGCGGTGCACGGGGCCACGGTGCAGTTCCCAGCGCAGTGCCAGGTGAGTGTGCAGCGGTGACATCGTAGTCGCAACACATCGCAGCTCGAAAGGTTCTCCCTCACGCAGGCTCAGGCCTGGAGGGGGCCGGGAGCTGGGGCCCACCACCAGGGCATCTGCCAGCACTGTGAAGAACAGAGGGAAGAGGTCAGTCAGTGGTCACTGTTGGTCCTACCCCATGAGGAAAGAACAGGCTAGCTCCCAGGACTCTGGCACCTACCCAAGAAAGATTCCTCATTCCATTCCTGGTCCTAAAGCCTAGATACGCAAGGCATCTGTTCTGATCCACCCACAATCTCAACTGGTGTTCTGACTCGAGAAAACAAAAAGTGAGGCAATAAATAAAACTCCATCCAGCTAAAATGGGTTTGTGAGCGCTTCTGTCACCACGGTGCAGGTTGACTTTGTTCTCCGTGCCTCAGTTTCCTAGAAAGGAGAATGATGACTATACCCACTTCACAGAACCAACGAGTGACAGGGCAGCGCCCGGAGCTGCAGGACAGGGCGGTGCATGGAGCGGGGCGGCG